TGACCCATTTCCCATCTTACCTTTTGTGACATACACTACTAGTTACTTAACCAATGCCTTTACTCCCCTTCTTACTTAGTAACAGAATCCCAATTTTGTTTGAATGACAATATGCCCAGTTAAAAATACCCTTGCAGCTGGTCCTCTGACCCAGTTCTGACCAATGAGAGGAACAGGAAAATCTGGATAAGGCTTCCTTGGAATCTCTTGTCTTCCTCATACAAAGGGGTAGGGAAAGCTCATCAGGAACATGACTTCTCCTGTTTGCTTTTGCTTTTATTCCTACCTGGAATGTAGGTGAGACTTCTGGAAGTGGGGCAGCCATCTTGTGACTATGAGGGTGAGAGCCAGCTGCTCAGGATAGCAGATCAGGAAGATAAAAAGAGCTTCAACCCTTAAGGATTTCTTTGAGCCTCTGTACCCGCCTGGACTGCCTACCACTGAACTTCTTGTTAGGTGAGGGAAAAAAAACTGTATCTGGTCAGACTTGTTACATACAACTCAATGTAATTTTGACTGACAAGTTCCCCAAGACAAGTCTCTTGTCTGTCCCGTAGCCCTGATATGTGGTGTTAATAAGCATCTGTGGTGACCCAAAAATAGACTTGGGGATGGAGACATTGGCTGTGGCTCTGATTCTGAACTTGCTGACCCATCACCTGTTCCATTTGTGCTCTGAACAAGAGTACTGTTAATTATCAGTCCCCTCGGCCAGCCAGAGCACGGGGGGCTGCGTCTGTGTGCTTTCAGAGAAGTTCAAATATAGCTCAGGCTCCTCCACTGCTTTTGCTGAGTGTGCAGCATCTGCAAGTCTGGCAGCCCCAATGCAGAGTGGGGAAGCTTTTCCTGGAAGGCTAGGGTCTGAACAAGGGGCCAGAAGCCAGGGATGTCGGCAGGTCTGGCTCAAGCAAACAAGATTTCCTACTTGTGAGGTGGGTGCACTACTTTCTAGTTAGTAGATAACAGAACTTGCTTTGGGTCAAATTAAGACCTAGAGGGTGCAGGGACGATGTGTTAGTTTCGTTCTTTGGTTACATGCAACAGAAGTGAACTCTGTATAACTGGATAAAAAAAGGTTTATTGGAAAAATATGGGATGGCTTACATAATCATAGGCAAAGCTGAAAAATCAACTTGAGTACAAAAAAAGTCATACATCCAGGAGGTCTTGATAGCAGAAACCTGCATTGGAATGACATTTGGGTTATGTACCCATTCTTCAGTTGAAGGAGGACAGGATGCCTTTACTGGAGTTTTTCTAGATGATCTTGGAGATTGGAAAGAGTGGTTTACCAGAAGTAATGGAGGTTTCTAGCACCTGAAGAATGGTGAGAAGATGTTGGTCAGTACAAATTTTTAAAAAATGTTCACTGAAGATAATACAGAGTTGGTCAGGTGCATGGGTTTTGGGATCAGACTGACCTTACTTAAAATCTTAGCTCTGCCCTTTACTGTTTGTCCTTGGTTAAGTCAATTAACCTCAGTTTCCTCACCTATGTGTGACGAGAATGAGACATGTTTAAATCCACTAGAGTATCAGCTGTATAAGAGCAGGGATTTGTGGGTTCCTTCCTTCCACTCTTACACCCCCAGCACCTAGACAAGGGCATGGCTCATCACTGACATTAATTGAATGGATGAATAAACTTTACATTTATCCCAGAATACTTCTTAGGTAGAAAGTTATTTTGCTGAAAATATAACGAGGTAGGTGCTTGGAGTGAAATGTGAGCATTGCTCCTGCCTCACTGCTTCACTCCGGGGAGGGTGAAGGAGATTCGGGCAGACATTGAGAGAGAGGAACAGATGCACACGCTATAGTCTCTCTACCTGATGCACCCCCAGCAGCACGCCGGCCTGCTTACTCACAAGCACAGTCCCTGTACCCTCATACTCACCAGCTTTAGCTGAAAACAACTAGGCTCGTTGATGCAGGATGAGTCCATCCCAGAAGTCTTCAGGACTTCCGGGCACAACATTGGCGGGTTACACTCTGCTCATAGGTTTAATGTGTTGAGAAGTCTGAAGTCACCATGCTCCTACTTTTCGTAGTGAACCATGACATCATGGCAAATAGAATAAATTACAGCCCCAGGGAATGCGTGCATTGTTAAAAAATACATGCAACAGGACTTAACTGGTGGAATGAATGCACATTAATTCTTCAGTCATGTTTTCATCTACCAGTCTTGACAAGATGAAATTCTAAGTCATTTCACTCCCCAGGGCCATTGTAGAAATACAAAGCATAAAAGAAAGAGACAAACCTTGAATAGGGGTGCTGGTACCCATGATCTTTAGCCCCTCCAATAACCAGCATCTCTGCCAAGGAATTTTGGTACCCATAATCGCTAGCCCCTCCAATAATCGTCACACTCACAAGCACCACCACAGGTCACCACCACCACCACCAAGCCCCATATTGCTGGCAGTGGCAGCAACAACAGTAGCAGCACCAGCCAAAGGTGAACTGCTTCTCCACCTCATCAGTTTCACCACAAAAATCAGCAGTGACATGGTTACCACCAGATAGTAAATGATACTGGGGCCCCGTCCATGTGCCCACATTGGTTTCAAGTTAAAGAAACCAAATTTGAACTAGCTTTAATAAAAAGGGGTTTCTATTTGGCTCAAATCCATCCTTAGGAGGGACTGGGAGCTGGCCTTAGGGCTAACTGGAATAAGGAATCCAAAACTAAACAGTTTCTCTCTCCCTGCCTCTCTTTTTCCCTGCCACCTCTCGCCATCTCTTTCTTTGTTTCTCCTTGCATCCTATGGTCTTGTCAAGAGCAGGGATAAGGGAAGGCTGTTCCAGCTACCCCAAGCCCTTTCTCCCATCTGATTGCAGAGAATAGCTGTCCAAATCGTTCAGAGGGTGGTGGGATCTTGACCTGGGGTTTCATGGATCTCTCTGATCTATGAGACAGAGATTGTGAAGAATTTGAAAAATCTTATGGATTGGAATAGTCGCAGAAGCTCATCTTCTTTCCCCATGATTGGGATTCCTGTACGTGTCTGCAGGCCTTCCTGGGAAGCAGGTGGTGTAAAGTGTGTGTATGTAGGGGGTAGGGGGAAGAGTGTGGCTTTAATGTCACAGAGATCTAGATTCAAACAGTAACTTTCCTGTGCCTGCCTGGTACATTGCCTGATAGACATTTGATGGTTAACTGGCCAAGTGGCTTTAGGCAAGTTACTTTACTTCTCTGAGTCTCCATTTCCCCATAAAATGGAGATGACCAGCATACTTAGCAGGCAGAGTTGTGATGATTTAGTCAAGCACTTGGAACATACCTGGTGCTTAGTCAACATTAGTTCCCACGCCCATTCGCTTTTGCAACAGAATTAGCTCTCTGCTGTTATGCCATTTCCAACTTGGCCAGTGGGGTAACCCCCAATCTCACCCAGGGATAGGCTAAAGGGAAATGTATCAATATTAAGAAATATTTGTATGAGACCCTAACTCTTTGCTCTGCTAGCAGTTACATAAATCTCAAAGTCATCTTCATCTTTCCCTGCCACCCTGGCTGGCCTCCAGGCAATTAAACATTGATGTCGTAGCTATACTTATCTTCTCCTCCCTCTTTCAGCCAAGCCTTGGACATCAATCCTGTCTTTCAAATAAAAAATTTAACCCTCACATTTGTGGAGTTCTTCAGTATATGTAGCACTTCCAAATTCCCTTTTTTGACATACTCATTATAAAGAATTAAAGCAATATTAAAAAAGTACAAAGAATAAAGTAAAAAAGTCAAATGATCAAGGTCAACATCACCAGTGAGAAGTCATGTGGAGATCACATGCCCTTTCATGTAATGAATGGGATGATAAGACACATCACTTCTGTGGTTTTCTTCCCCAAAGCCTAAAACCTCAGTCAAATCATGACAAAACACCAAACACGTCAAAATTCAGGGACATTCTAAAAGTATCTGACCACCACTTTTCAAAAGTGTCAAGGTTTTGAAAGGAAATGAAAAACCAAGAAACTGTCATAGGCCAGAGGAGACAAAGGAGATGTGATACCTAAACGCAATGTGGTATTCTGGTTTGCAAAGTAGAACACAAAAAAGACATCAGTGGAAAAATTAGAAAATCTGAATGAAGTACGCATTGTAGTTAACAGCATCATACTATAATAATTACCAAGTTAATGTCTTAATTTTTATACATGTGGCATGATTGCATAAGATGTTGACATTAGAGGAAGTTGAGTGAGGAGGAAATCAGAACTTTCTGTCCCATCTTTACAACTTTTCTGTAAATCTACAATCATTTCAAAATTAAAAGTTTAAAAACAAAAATAAAAAGTCAGAAATGAACATAATTCATATGAGATGAACATCACTCCACACATCTTTCAATGCATCGATACAGACAGGTAATCAGAAATAATTTCTAAAAATTATTTGATATCATAATACTCTTCTTAAGTTTTGAAGATATTTCATTTATTTTACTTGAATTTAATGGAATTTTAGAAACAAATGCAAAGACAGAATTTATGAACTTTAGATAGCAATTTTTTCACCAAAATAAATATATGAGCCCCTTAAAGATCCCTCCTGAAAACATTAAGAGGTTGCAGACATTGTTGTTTTTAGCCATACATATCAATTTTAGATGGTGACTACATGCAATAAAACACTGGCACTGTTACACTTTTCCATCTCTTCTCCCTTAACTTCCTGTTTTATGTTGCTACTTTTACTATGTTGTTATTTTTACTTTAATGGAGTGAATCAGTTAAAGACTGCTTTTAGGCTGGGCATGGTGGCTCACGCCTGTAATCCCAGCACTTTGGGAGGCCAAGGTGGGCAGATCACCTGAGGTCAGGAGTTTGAGACCAGCCTGGCTAACATGGTTAAGCTCCATTTCTACTAAAAATACAAAAAATTAGCTGGGCCTGGTGGCACGTACCTGTAATCCCAGCTACTCAGGAGGCTGAGGCAGGAGAATTGCTTGAACTCGGGAGTCATAGGTTGCAGTGAGCCGAGATTACACCATTGCACTCCAGCTTGGGCAACAAGACGGAAATTCCATCTCAAAAAAAAAAAAAAAAAAAAAGATTGCTTTTAGCTGTGAATTACAGAAAGCCTGAGAAGCTAGTGTCTTAAATAAACAAGTAGTGAAGAGTTAGGCAGTTGCCGTCACCATTTCAGTGCTTCAAAGATATCACGGTTGAAGGGGCTGTGTAATTCTCCTGGGATTTTCCTTATGATTGCAAAACAGCTGCTGCAGCTCCAGCCATCATGTTCTTACTCCACCCAGGAAAAAGGAGAGAATGACTAAATCAGGAAAGGAAAGTTTTCTGTGAATTCCTAGTCTGTATTTCATTGACCATAACTGTGTTATATGCCACCCCTAGCTGCAACAGAAGCTAGGAAATGTGGAATTTTTTTTTAACTAGGCACATTTGATGGCTTCAATCAAATTAGTATTTCTTAGTAAGGAAGATGGAAATAACTGATAATTCTCAGTTATTTTTCCTCATTTTATATTTAAGCCTGTTTAGTATTTACCAGCAATTTTATATACCAAAGATTTTTAAAATGTAATTTTTTTAGATCCACTAGAAACATTTAGTGAAATTTTTTTATATCCACCGGATTTTAATTTTTAGATCCATCTTTATTTTGATCCACGTCTTGGTTGGCAAGATTTTATTGTCAGGGGTGAGCTGAAGCTGGGATCTTGAGAAACACCCACAGTAACCTACCTTGTACTTCTCTAATTTCTCCACCTCCGTGGAATTACACTTGAAATGGAAAGAAAGAATCAAGGTGGCCCAAACCTAGTTCCCTTGCCCAGGCAGAAGCCACCCCTTTAAAAGAGAGAGGAGGCAGAGATGGCTCACTGCTGCCAGAAAAAGGCTTCTGATGGACAGCCAGTGTGCTCCCTGGAGACCTGATGTCATCACCAGTGAGCAACAAGGCATCCAACTGGCAGCTGAACAATGAATTGTTGCTGTGACCAGGACGGCTCAGTGGCCAGGATGGCTACATGCAGCCTTTGCCCAGTTGAATTTGAAAGTCGGAGGCACTTATCTTAAGGGTGTTGCTTCTCGTTCATCTAAGGCTACTCAGGGACTCTCACTCACATTTACCTCCAAACAGGGCTGGCCACTGAACTTCTCTCCACCTTTCTCTGCTTCCTTGGAACCACGGTGTTGTGCCTGCAAGATCAGACTCAGGTTGGTGCCCAGCACTGGAGTCCTTGAAAAGCTCTGCCACCTCCAGGGTTCTAGGTCTGGACTACAGCCTGGCCGTCATGTGCATGTTCTCCCCCAGCCCCCAAGAATAAGATAATACAGGCTCATTGAAGGGATGGGGAATGCAGGGGAAGGAAAGCACAGAAGGCCAGGCATGGTGGTACGTGCCTGTAATCCTAGGTACTCATGAGGCTGAGGCAGGATTGCTTGAGCCCAGGAGTTCGAGTCCAGCCTAGGTAACATAGCAAGCCCCCATCTTTAAAGAAAACCCCCAAAAACTAAAAAACAAAAAAATTTAAAAGCCCATACATACACAGAATAGTATAAAGAATAAAATGAAAATTACACTTAGCAACAATCACTGCTATTTTTTTTTTTTTTTTGGCCAGGGCTTTTTCTATGCATTTATGTATTTTTAAAGTGAGATATAACTTACATAAACTTGTATAAAACACACAAATTTTAACTGTACAACTGGTTTAATTTTTGCGTATGTATACATCCATGCAACCCAGCAGGCTTTCCAATTGACAACCTCTTTCCCCTCCAACCTTGATCATGACACCCTGGTCTTTCCTATTTTTAAACTTCATAAAAATGGCACATATGCATTTTTAAAATTAAAATGGGACATAACTATTATACATCATTTTCCCCATTTGATATATCATGAACATTTCCTGGTGTCATTTTTGTTTCAGAACTTATTTTAATGACTATATATTTTATCATAGGATCCTGCATGATTTATTTAATGTTCCCCAATTCTTGCACATTTAGCTTATTTCAGAATTTTTGCCATTTTAAACGGGACTATGTAGAGCATCTTTTTTACACCCAGTGTTCCAGAGGATAGGATAACAAGGTGGTTCAGAGAATGGGTTTTGGAGTTAAAGAGATCAGGATTTGAGCATCCTGTCACTTATCAGCTACTTGAACTTAATCAACTTACACCACCTCCTTGGGACTCAGTTTCCCCACCTAAAAATGGACTTGACAATACTCCTCACATTGCATGTTGCTATAAGGGCTAAATGAGCTAAGTGTAAGTGCTTAGCATACTGTCTGCACAGAGTGAACACCCTGTAAATGTTGAGCTGCTATTATTCATCTTTGTGTTCACTTCTAATTATTTCCTTAGGAGAAATTCCTAGAAGTAGAATTGCTGGATCAAAAAGAGTGCTTGTCTTTAGAATTTTTAAATACAGTCTGCCAAATTGCCCTCCAGAAAAGCTGTGTCAACTCACACAACTACCAGCTGTGCTTGAGAATACCCTTTCACCACTCCCTCAACAATGAGTTTCAGAAGGAAGGAGGGAAGGAGAGAGGGAGGGAGGGAGGGAAGGAGGGAAGGAAGGAAAGAAGGAAGGAAGGAAGGAAGGAGAAGGGAAGGGAAGGGAAGGAGGGAGAAAGAGAAGGAAGGAGGGACGGAAGGGAGGAAGGAAAGGAGGGAGGGAAGAAGGGAAGGAGGGAAGGAGGGAGGGAGGGAAGGAAGAAAGGAAGGAAGGAAAAGAAAAAAGAGACTTTGCCAATCAGACAAGGAAAAAAATACCCTTTGTTATTTTACTTTCTAATGAGGCTGAACACCTCCTTTTTTCATATTGGCCATTTGTTTTTCTTCATTTGGAAATTCACCTAGTCAGATCTCTTACTGTTTTTTCTGTTGGGATGTGGGTTGGTCTTTCAATAACTGGACCACTACCCAATTCAAGAAGTCTGTTCCACAGTTCCTGTGACAGGGCTCTGACCTTGGTCCCTGCCCCAAATTGTCACCTTGGTGTCTGCCTGATTTGATGGCTCATCTAGGTTTGGGCTTCTGCTCCATTCTTGCCAAGACCCCTTGCCAACCTGAGATATACAGATGCCCAGAGCAACTAAGAAATCAGTGTCACTTTTTCCTTTAAATAAATGTTTGCTCAACATTTGTTTAGAAGAGAAGCTGGGTCATGCATGAAGCAACAACTGGGAAGGAAGACCTCTTGTGACAATACTTTGCATCATCTATTACAAGCAATTCAGCTCTGGCCCCAAACTTGCATTACTGGCTTAAAGAAATTAGAGTCCTGTAGTTAAGCATAGCTGTCTTTCTAGAAGGCAGTTTAACATCATCCTCCCTTCTCCTAATACTCCAAGTATTTATTTTAAAAGTATACTTAACCCCTGAACAACACAGGTTTGAACTGTGTAGGTCTATTTATGGGCAGATTTTTTTCAATAAATATATTGAAGTGTTTTTGAAGATTTGTGACAATTTGAAAAAACCCACAGATGAAACATACGCTAGAAATGTCAAGAAAAGGAAAAAGGAAATATCATATGTCATCAATGTATGAAAATATGCAAATACTTATCTATTGTTTTCATTTACTACCATAAAATATACACACATCTATTATAAAAAGTTAAAATTCATCAAAACTTACACACAAACAGATGGTGCATGGCGCCATTCACAGTTAAGAGAAATGTCAACAAATGTGAAGATGCAGTATTAACTCATAATTGCATAAAATTAGCTATAGTTAAAAAAATAGCCAAGTGTAGTGACATATGACTATAGTCCTAGCTACTCAGGAGGCAGAGGTGGGAGGATCACTAGAGCCCAGGAATTCGACGCTGCAGTGAACTATGAACACACCACTGCACTCCAGCCTGTGCAACAGAGCAAGACCCTGTCTCAAAAAAAGTACAAACAAAAAACTGTAGTACATACTGTACTACTGTAATAATTTCATAGCCACCTCCTATTGCTATTGCTGTGAGCTCAAGGGTTGCAAGTTTTCACTTAAGATGCTGTGTGCCGCTAATCATCTCTGCACGAGCAGTTCATCTCTCCAGTAAATTGCCTGTGGCAGTAAAAAGTGATCTCATAAAGTTCTTTTCGCTGTGTTTAGTGCAATGCCATAAACCTTGAATGACATCATGGGACCCATAACAAGTGCTACCAGTGATGCAAGAAGTACTCCCAAGAAGTGAAGAAAAATTGTGACATTATAAGAAAGAGTGGAATTGCTTGATATGTATGATAGGTTGAGGCCTGCAGCTTAGGTTGCCTGCCTTTTTCAGGCAGACAATTCATCTTGTAAATTAATAACATAAACTTATGGTTTCAATAAGTACAGTATGGTAAATATATTTTGTCTCTCATGGTTTTCTTTTTTCTTTCTTTCTTTTTTTTTTTTGGAATCAGGGTTTCACTCTGTTGTCTAGACAGGAGTGCAGTGGCGTGATCTCTGCTCACTGCATCCTTGACCTACCTGGGTTTAAGCGATCCTCCCACCTCAGCCTCCTATGTAGCTGGAACTACAGGCGCCCGCCACCATGCTCAGCTAATTTTTTTGTATTTTTTATAGAGACAGGGTTTTGTCATGTTGCCCAGGCTGGTCTCAAGCTCCTGGATTCAAGGGATCGTCCTGCTTTAGCCTCCCAAAGTGTTGAGATTGCAGGCATGAGCCTTGGTGCCCGGCTCATTGTCTTTTCTCTAGCTTACTATAAGAATATAGTATGTGATACATATAACATACAAAATATGTGTTAATTGACTGTTTACATTCTCAGTAAGGCTTGTGGTCAGCAGTAGGCTCTTGGTAGTTAATAGGAGTTTAGGGGAGGTTAAGTTATCCTCGGGTTTTCGACTGCACAGGGGTTGGCGCCCCTAACCCCCACAAAGTACAAGAGTCAACTATATCACCTTCAAATACATATGATGATAGCCTTGAGAATACGTCAGGTTAATATAGTTTTCTCCATGTCATTTTATTTCTAAAAATCTTTTAGAGTCCCAGAGATGCTTTAGCACCTTCTATAGGTGCCCATCTGACTAGTGCCTTACTAGTTCTGTTTGGTTTGGGTAGGGTCTGGATTTCTGGGGTCATCTCTTGCTAAAGAGGTGATCCAGGAGGCAGTGTCATGAAGGGAAGGGTATTGAAAACTTGGCTGAGAGTCAGGCACTGTGGCTCACATCTGTAATTCCAGCGCTTTGGAAGGCTTCAGCAGGAGGATCACTTGAACCCAGGAGTTCAAGACCAGCTACAGTAACATAATGAGACCCTCTTTCTAAAAAAAAAAAAAAAGAAAAAAAAAATTAAGTAAATTCTCCAGGAGTGATGGCTCATGCCTGTAGTCCCAGCTACTCGGGAGGCTGAGGTGGGAGGATCCTTTGAATCATCCAGGAATTGAAGGCTGCAGTGAGCTATGATCACACCACTGCACTCCAGCTTGGGCAACAGAGCAAGATCCTGACTTCTAAAAAAATAATAATAATTTGCTTGGCATGGTGGTTCACGCCTATAACCCCAGCACTTTGGGAGGCTGAGGCAGGCAGATCACTTGAGGTCAGGAGTTCGAGACCAGCCTGGTTAACATGGTGAAACCCCCATCTCTACTAAAAAAACAAACAGACAAACAAAAAACTAATAAAACTTGGCTGTTTTGGGAGAAGATACTATTTCCTCCTATTAAATTGGAGATTATTTTTTAAAGGAGAAAAAAAAGAAGGTTAAGAAAATGAATTATCTAGAATTAACCAAACATGTCAGAGAAAACCTACCAAAGGAGACAAAAGAAGACCTGGGTAAATGAAGAAATGTACTGTTTGTAGACGGTAAGAAATAGCAGTGTAATGGTGTCAATTCATGTTATTAATATTTGGGGGAGAGGAATTAAATAAGCAAATAATGAAGTTTGCATGGAAGAATAAAGTTCCATGAATAGCTAAAAGAACTATTCTCAAAAATAAGAGCAGAGAGAGGGGATCACCCTACCAGATGTGGACTAATGGGACAAAAGAGAAGAATCCAGAAACAGAACCGTGTATGTGGATATTTGGTATGTGATAGAATTGACAACAGAAATCAGTGAGGAAAAGACGGATTATTTTAATGGTGTTGGGGAAAATATCTGGTTGTATGGAAAAAATAAAAATAGATCCTATCTCACACCATATAAAACAAACTTCAGCTAGT